GTAGAGACTAGGTCTTGCCAAGTTGCTGGAGCTGGTCTCAAACCTGCAGGCTCAGGCAATCCACTCACCTTGGCCTCCCAAAGTGCTAGGATTGCAGGCTGAGCCACCGAGCCCGGACTGCGGCTTTCAGTGTATAGATCTTATGCTTCTTTTGTTAAACTTATTCCCAAGCATTTATTCTTGTTATGGTCTTGCAAATGGAATCATTTCTTAACTTGATTTTCAGATTGCTCATTGCTGGATATAGGAATGCAGTTGGTTTCTGTATCCTGATATCTTGTATCTTACAATCTTACTGGACTCATGGCTTGGCTGTAATCATTTTTGTTAGGACCTTTTGTGTTCATCTCATCTGTGTGTACATAGAGATCGCTTTACTTCTTCCTTTCCAATCTGCATACCTTTTATTTTCTTGCCTGAGTGCCCTGGCTGGAACCCTTTGTACAGGGCTGAACAGAAGTGACCAGAGTAGACATCCTTTTCTTGCTCTTTTTGTTGTTGTTGAGTCGGAGTCTCACTGTTGTCCAGGCTGGAGTGCAGTGGCTCGATCATGGCAACCACAGCCTCGACCTGCTGGGCTTGGGTAATCCTTCTGCCTAGGCCTTCTGGGTAGCCGGGACTATAAGCGTGTACCACCATGCCCGATTGTTTTTTAATTGTAGAGACAAGAGCTCACCAAGTTGGCCCAGACCGATCTCAAACCCTTGGGCTCAGGCAGTCCCTCTTGCGTCAGCCTCCCAAAGTCCTGGGATTACAGGTGTGAGCCACCGTGCCCAGCCCCTTGTCTTACTCTTGCTCTTGGGGGAAAGTGTGAGTTCTTTGACAGTAAATCTGATGTTCGCAGTGTGTCTTCCACAGATGGCCTTTTTTTAGGTTGTGAAGGCCCCCTTCCCTCTGAGTCTACTTTTTCCGCACATATTGAAATGAGCACACGGTGTCTTCCTACTCGTAAACAGGAAGCCGAGTCTGTCTGCTTTTCTCCAGTCACACTACTTGTCATATGTAGACTTTTTCACTCAGAAAACCTACCTTTTTATCTCAGAGAAGTGTCATTCTACTGTTTGTCTTGGACTGTGTTTTCCTCTGTCCTTTTCTCGGGAGGCTGAGTTTTGGAGCCTCTACTATTCATGTCTCTTAGCTTTTGTGTGTGTGCTTTGTACTGTTTTATCTTCTGGTGACTTTCTTGACATGTCTTCTAGGTTATTAGCTTGAATTAGCTATGTCCATTTTGTTACCTGTTTTTAAATTTGATCCTCTTGTTTGTCAAGTTTATTGTTCATGTTTGTTGTTGCCTTTTCATATTTATAGATGTAGTATCCTTCTGACCCTCTTTATTTTTATTTGTGTATTTTTAAATTTTTCACATGACACAGATGTAGTATTTTATTTTATTTTTTAGTTTTTTTTTTTCTCAATGTAAGGGAGGCGGACAGTATCTCGCAAAGTAAGTGGGTCACCTTAGGGGCAACCTTTATCCGCTCAAAAAAACGTCTTATGTTAGCAGTGAGGATTCGGGCATCACCCCAAATCGTTATTTTCCTTACCCATAAGTTTAAGGCATTAGTATTTTATTTTTAACATTTTTATTGAATTATCTGTTCGCGCTGTGATTAGGTTTTTGTTGTTGTTGTTGTTGTCTTGGATATTTCCTTGTTTCCTCTTAGTTTTTTTGAAAATATGCGTTTAGTTTTAGTTGAAGGAAGGACTGCGGTTGTTGGCGCGGATGTTTCTGGTGTCATTGTGTTGCTTCCCAAATGCACGCCCCCCCCCCCCCCCCCCC